ATAACTTGGAGGTTTGGAAGTGTCCCAGTCATGCCTGCTCCAGTTAGAATTTCGCCTTGTTTTTCCCAGGCAGCCTCCAGCCCTCTCTGAGAGACAGCTGCTCAAGGACAACAAATAAGTGGGAATCAGCCTTCCCAGGTGGCGGTGAGAGAGTCTGGACCTGAGAAGGTGGAGTCAATTCCGGCAGAGGAATGGCTGGGAGGTTGCTGGGGGTGGGGGAAGGGCCCCAAAGAGCCCCTACTCCACCTGACTGGAGAAGACCACAAAGGATGGGGCCACCAATAGGCAGAAGGCCTCTCCTTTTTAAAAAATCCTCACTGGAGAATATTTTTTCATTTATCTTCAGATAGAGTGGGAAGGAGGGAGATGGAGGGAGAGAGAGAGAAACATCGATGTGAGAGGGACACATCGACTGGTTGCCGCCTGTATGACCCCAACCAGGGCCGGGGACAACCGCAATTGAGGTTTGTGCCCTTGGCTGGAATAGAACCTGTGACTCTTTGGTCTGTGGGCCGATGCTCTAACCACTGAGCCAAACCGACCAGGGCAGCCTGAGCTTCTTAACAGAGGTTCATGAGGTGACCACTAGTGTGGCATGGGTGGTCTCACCAAAGGTGGAGTCTTAGGCTGCTTTCCCACAGGATCACAGCCTGAGACAAAGATTCAAGTACAAGAAGCTTATTTGTAAAGTGGTCCCAAGACCTCTAGTAGGAGATTCAGGAATGAGACAAGGAAGAGAAGGAAGCTGATGGAAGGTGCACTTCAGTCACTCTGGGTGGCTGGAGCCTAATCCTGCTCAGGAAGTTTGGGAGACAGTGCAGAGCACACAGCCGAGTTGTGGCATCTGAGGGGCCGGGGAGCTGGGTAGTTATACAGCAACTCCCATCAGCCATTAGTTGAGGGCTACTGAAGTAGGATATTAAATCCCTGGTTACAGATAAACAGAAAGGGAGCAAGTGGCCAGAGAAAGCTCTCAGGCAGAAAAATAACAGGTACTGGTGGTTGGAAGTGGTAAAATCTAAAAGCAGTATTTGCTATTCATGTGGTTCCCAAACTGAGACTTTTCATTGAAAATCAGGGCAGCCTAACCTTTCCCAGTGTGCAGTTCTCTGTACAATGCCAGCAGCCTCGCCCCTAGGGGCATAGGATGTGTAGTCCCTGTTCTAGACCAAAGAATCAGAACCCTAGTGATTAAATTAGTAAACACTTATTTCATACTTGCTATAGACCAGGTGCTCTGGTAATTGCTTTATATGCATGACCTCATTTAATTTTCGCAACCCTGTGAATATGATCTCTGAAGTTCAGAGAGATTAAGTAGTTTGCCTAAGGTCACAGGGACAGTGTAATAGACTGTTTGTGTCCCTCCAAAATTCATATGTTAAAATCTTAACTCCCTATGCGATGGTATTAGGAGATAGGGTCTTTGGGGGGTAATCGGGTCATTAGGCGGAGCTCACATGAATGGATTAGTGACTTTGTAAGAAAAGATACAAGAGAAATTGCTTCCTCTGTTGTTCACCTTGTGAGGATACAACAAGAAGATGGCCATCTGCAAGCCAGGTAGTAGGCCCTCAGCAGACACCAGATCTGCCAGCACCTTAATCTTGGACTTATCAGCCTCCAGAACTGTGGGAAATAAATGTATGTGGTTTAAGTCACCCTGTCTAGCAGCCCGAACTAAGACAGGTCCTACCCAGGCATGCCTGCTGTCACTGCCCTCTCTCACAACCGTGACAGATGTCACTAATTCATCACCAGCTCTTTTAGACAGGGATTTACAACTCCTTTTCAAACAGTGAGTTCTCACCCGGCTGGTGTGGCTCAGTGGTTGAGCATTGACCCATGTACCAAGAGGTCATAGGTTTGGTTCCTGGTCAGGGCACACGCCTAGGTTGTGGGCCAAATCCCCAGTGGGGGGCATGGAGGAGGCGGCCAATCGATATTCTCTCTCATCGATGTTTCTATCTCTCCCTCTCCCTTCCTCTGTCTCTAAAGACAATAAAGAAAAAAACAAAAACAAAAAAACAGAGTGAGTTCTCTAGTTACTCCCTGTAACATAATCCCAGAATACTCTCTGATAAACACTTAGCATAAGAACTCACACACAATAGGCTCAATAAATGGAAGCTATTAGTATTATTACTGTTGCCACTTAGAGATCAAACCCATTGGCCAAAACTTCCTTGACCCTCAGAGAGACAGGCTTTGTCAGATTCATTCCTCTGCAGTAGCGATAAAGAGTAGGAATAGAGCCCAGCTAGTGTGGCTCAGTGGTTGAGCACTGACCCATTCACCAAGAGGTCACAGGTTTGATTCCTGGTCAGGGCACATGCTCAGGTTGTGGGCCTGATGCCCAGTGGAGGGCATGCAGGAGGTGGCCAATTGACGTTCTCTCCCATTGATGTTTCTATCTGTCCCTCTCCCTTCCTCTCTCTCTCTCTAATATATATATGAAGAGTAGAAGTGGAGGGGAAGAGCTGTGAATAGCTAGAAGTTGGGGTAATTTGAAAGGGGTTGATTTTGGAGCCTGGGTCCTACCAGGAGGGAGGCCTGGGCGATGTGAGTCAGGAGGATTGATGGGAGCTTGGTGTCCAGGAGAAGCTGACAAGGGAGGAGAGAAGTGAGAGGTGCTAAAATTGTCCCCTGTTCCTTGTCCTCTGTGGGTAGGTCCTTGTCACCAGAAAGGGCATGCTCAGTCTCCAACTACTTCCTTTCATTTGGCCTTCCTCTTGCCTCACCTTTGCTTCTAGTACCCACTCAGCATCAGAGATGAGGACTGACCTCCAGGACTCCCAGTGGCTTGTCCCCATATTTCTCCCTGGTCTAGACTCCAGTGAGGGAGGGGTCCTTGTGGAGAAAGGCCAGAGGCTGTTCTCAAAGCAGCCAGTGAGTGGTTGAGGGTTTTGCTTGAAAACCTGGGGTTTGACAGATTCTGTGCCAGGATCGCCTTTGCCCTATGTAGCAGAGTGATTTTTAAATGGTCCTGATTCTCCATGGCTCCCTGAATCCACATCCTTTATGATCTCATAGTTCATCCCATTGAGAGGTGGAGTCTGTTTCCTGACCCCTTGAATCTGGTCTGGATTTGTGGCTTGCTTTGCTGATGGGAGGTGATAGGAGTTGTTGAGCCCTTTCGGAGCCTTGCCTGTTTCTGTTTGCTCTCTTGAATGCTGCCATGACCACGTGAACATGCTCAGACTAGCCTGCTGGAGGACAAGAGACCATGTGGAACAGAGACAATCTTCCTAGCTGAAGCCATCTTACACCTGCCACCGGCTGGGACCCAAATGTGTCAGACAGCCCAGCCCAAATCAGCAAAGATACCTACTTGATCTGTAGCTGACCATGGACACAAGAGTGATTCTGGACAATATAAGACTGCCTAGCTGACCCATACACTCATGAATACTAATAAATGCTTATTTTCAACCACCAAGTTTTGGAAGGATCTGTTACCCTGTACTAACTAACTGATACACTCAAACCCCAGGGGTCAATCCTCCTTCCCTTGCCCCAGCTGGACACTCAGTCTGGCCTAAAACATAATAGCAGCCTCCAGCCTGACCAAGGCTCCCACAGAAGCTGCCTTGTGGCCAACAACCAGCTCTCTCTTTGGCTTTCTCCCTGTCAGTGAGACTGCCCTGGCACTCCCCCATCTTTTCCTTGTGTTCCTCTTTGAGAGCACTAATCCATGTGTGCGTGGTGTATGTGGTGTGTGTGTGTGTGTGTGTGTGTGTGTGTGTGTACATGTGCACTTATGCATGTGCACCTGTGAGCTCTAAGGTGCATCCCATGCCTTGTGTTCAGTCTCTTCCTCTGGCTGAGGACTCCCTGAAGCTGAGGCTATGCTTTGTCCCTAGAAGACGTTTCCTATACAGGGACCTCATTCCTTGAAAGCTGCTCCTGCCTAGCGCTCAGCCTAGGTTGTAAGGATCCAACTCTGTGGGTTCAGGTCAATCCCATTAACTTCCCTGCGCTCTACTAAGTCCAGCAGGCTGGTTCACCACAACCCCCACCTACCCAGCTGAAACTAGACCTCCTGGCTGGGTCAGCTTGCCCTGCAGCTGCCCTCAGCAGCTCTCATCCTGCCAAGGGCTCTTCCTGCCCCATGGCTTTCCCTTGTGAACTGGGCTGGTCATGGGACAAGCTCCTCCTGGCTGTCTGATCACCGGTATGGGGAGACTTGATGAATCAGAGTGACTTAGGACACTGTCCAGACCTCTTTGACACTCAGTTCTGGGCTCTCTCCACACAGCATTTACCAGCCAGGGAGTTTGGTTTCAACCACAGAAATGGCTCGGAGAGGCCTAAGCAGAAGAGGAATTTATTAGGAGATTACAGGGTGACTGATGGGATTGATCTGCAGGACTGACCACGGGAGGAATGTGGCTGGGCACTGCTGCTGCTGGCACCACTGTCTTTGACTGTGGCCATGTTCTCAACTGTCTCTGCTTTCTATAGCCTCACCCCGGACTCTGAGGTCTGGGAAGTATTCCCAAGAGGAGGAGCTTGGTTCTGGTCCTTTGTGCCCCTCCTGGTCATACTCTTCTCCTCCCCGGAGGAAATGACTGTCCTGGTGTTAGCTCACTTCTTCCTGTTCTTGAATGACACATAAAAGAATCATACAGCCCTGCCAGTGTGGCTCAGTGGATTGAGTGTTGTCCCTTGGACTGAGAGGTCCTGGCTCAATTCCCGGTCAGGCACATGCCTGGGTTGCAGGCTCATTCCCAGGTGGGAGCGTGCAGGAGGCAGCCAATCGGTGTTTCTCTCTCATATAGACATTTCTATCTCTCTCTCCCTTCCTCCCTCTCTAAAAATCAATAAAAACATATTTAAAAAAAAGAAAAAGGAATCACACAATTTGTGCTCTTTTGTGTACGGTTAATTTTGTGTAGCATAATGCATTGGAGATTCATCCAGGTTGTGTGCATTAGTAGTTTGTTCCTTTTTCTTGCTGAATATTTCTTTTAAAGTATGTTTTTATTTTTGTTTTTTAGAGAGAGAAGAAGAAAAAAAGATCGGTCGACTGCCTCCTACACAACCCCCACTGGGGATCAAGCCCGAAACCCCGGCATGTGACCTGACTGGGAATTGAACCGGGACCTCTCTGTCCATGGGATGACATTCAATTCACTGAGCCACACTGGCCAGGTTTTCTTGCTGAATATTATTTCATTATGTGGATAGACTATAATTTGTTTATTCTCTTGTTGGTAGACATTTGGATTGTCTCTAGTTCTTATAAATAAAACTATAAACATTCATGTACAAGTCTTTCTGTGGTCAAACATCATTTTTCTCCCAGAGTGTTTTTGGGAACAGAAACTCATATGCTATTTTATTATTATTGAATCAACTGTTTATAAAGATCAGAATAGTTATTACTCTCAAAGTCCTAGAGAATAAAAACAATTATTAAACCACCTTAAACAAATATGAGGACTGTAAAGTCTCCCAGAGTTTTGATGTGCTGTCCTGTCCCACTAGAAAACTTCCCTGCGAAGTTAGCCACAGACTTCAGCTAGAAAAACAGATGAGATGAATTTCCCCCATGAAGTTATAATTCATATCCAAGACAGAACTCCTCATATATCCCTAAACTCCCTCCTTCTGCAGTCTTCCCCATCTCATTGTGTTTCTGGACTAGTTACTTGGGCCAGAAGCCTTGACTCCTCTCTTTGCTCACATCTTTCAACTGTGCCATCAGCAACCCCATCATATTTGCCTTCAAAGCACCTGACCACTTATTTCCTGCATGGCTACCAGCTGGTCTGGACCACCATCACCCGTCACCTGGATCTCTGCAGCATGTTCTCCTCTGCTTCTACCCTAGTTTCTCTCCCACACCCTCATCCCCACCCTCATCTCACCACAGCAGCCAGAGTAACCCTTCTGAGGCTTAATGAGACTGTTCTGTCTTTGTTTGAAATCCTCCCTTGGCTCCTACCTCACTCTAAGCAAAAGTCACAGTCCTCACAATATCTACAAAACCCCACGCGATCTCCTCCTGCTACTTCTCTCCTATCGTCCCCCTTCTGGTTCTCCTCTTTGGTCACAACTGCTTGTTTCTTTAATATGCCAAGGATGATCCTGCCTCTGGACTTTTGCATTGGCCATTTTCCTCTGAATAGAAAACTCTTCGCCTAGAGATCCACATAGCTCCCTCCTTTACTTTCCTTCAGGCCTATCGACTTTACCAGCACTAACTATCAACTGTCACAGCACTCACCATCATCTGATACAGTCTATTTACTGGTTGATGTGTTTGTTGTCTGTCTTCCCCATCAGCATGTTAGCTCCATGAGGGCAGGAACATCGTTAGTTTGCACTTGTGTTGCCAGTGCCAGAATAGCATTGGCCATGTCATAGACACCAAATGCGAGACACAGAGGGCCTACAGCACACCTAACAGTGTATTCCATCTTGAGCTTACTATTTAGGTGTAAAAAAGTATTAAAAAAAATCCTCACCTGAGGATATTTTTCCATCAATTTTTAGATAGAATGGGAGAAAGGGAGAGAGAGAGAGAGGAACATTGATGTGAGAGAGACACATTGATTAATTGCCTCCTGCACGACCCTGACTAAGGTTGGGAATCTAACCTGCAACCAAGGTATGTGCCCTTGACTGGGAATCAAACCTTCAACTCTTCAGTCCGTGGGCAGAGGCTCTAACCACTTAGCAAAACCAGCCAGGGCAAAAAAAAAAAAAAAAAAAAAGGTATTTTTAAATTGAATTTATTGGGATGACATTGGCTAATAGGTGTTGGATTCTTGAAGAGATTGCTAAGAACATCCTTTGGGCCTTCAGAGATTTAGCTAATTTTGTCTCAAATCCCCAGTCTCACAGTCTATGTGAGTCCAGTGCAGGCTCGGGGACTAGAAGAAGCTTTGGGAAATGATGAGATGGACCTGGGTCTGGGAGGGTAGGTGGAGTTTGGGTAGGCAGAGGACAGAAGGACAGCATGAGTTGGAGTAGGGTGGTGCCACTTGAGATACGTAAGGGGCATTGCCCTGGCTAGTTTTGCTCAGCAGTTAGAGCATCAGCCCGTGGACCAGAGTCCTGGGTTTGGTTCCTACTAAGGGCATGTACCTTGGTTGCAGTTTGTCCCCGGCCCTGGTTGGGGACGTATGGGTGGCAACCACTTGACATGTCTCTCTTATGTCGATGTTTCTCTCTCTCTTCCTCCTTCTCTCCCTCCCATTCTATCTGAAGATAAATGCAAAAATGTCCTCTGGTGAGGATAAAAAAAAAAGATACAAAGGGCCCATCATTCAAGGGAAACTCCACACACTCTTAGTTTCCCACATTTCTGGGCTGCTCATGCATGAAGGCCAGGCAGGCTCCCTTGGTGGGGTTCCACCAGGCTGTATTGGAGAAGTCCCAAGACAGGTTGAAGCCTTCCCAGAAAAGCTCAGCTCATTACTGGCTAGAGGAAGAGGTTTGACCAAAGGTTTCTGAGGTAGTGCCCAAAGGCTGTCCAACACACTCATCTTTACAATGAGGTCTCCACTCCACAGAGATGCTGCAAAGATTGGGCTGAAGTCCATACCTAGATAATAAATGAACTGGGTTTCGGTTTCTGAGGCCCTCTTAAGGGCAAGGGCTGTGGTCAACATGGCACCTCCTCTCCAGAGTAGAGGGCTAAGGGAGGGCCAAGGCCCAGGGAAAGCCTGGAAGGGAACCAGGCAAAAAGGGGCTCTGCCATATTGGTTCACTGGGGCTGGCAGAGAGGCCTAAGCAAGACAGCAGGGAAGATAAAGTGTTCTAGACGACAAAGAGGAAGGGGCCTGGAGTGATCCCCTGGACCTGGAGTGAAGGGAAGGGGCTCCTAAAAGGTGCTCTCGTGAGGGGAAGGAAACTGATGAGGCCACCAAGACGGAGCAGAAAAGGTGTGAGGGAATCCTGACAGCGCTCTGCTCAGCATGGTGTTAGGCACCTTGTAGGTCCTGCATGATAACAGCAGTCATGTTCCTTTACCATTACTGATCATCACCATGGGTCTATTCTCAGGGATATCAATCAATTTGATAGCAGCCCCTGACTTTTATGTGTATTACAGACTAGCCAAGGATTCTTAATTTAAGATCCTGTGGATACAATTTAGGGGCCTGTGAAAAAATTACATCTATATTTTGCTCTAAATTAAATCAAACATTTCCCTCAATTATGTACATAGCAACAAATTACACAGCTGAGTCTTTGTTCCCAATAAAAGCCACAAATATTTTCATATCACATTACAGTTATAAATATTTTGAAAGATCATTTATACTTCAAAATTATAGTAGTTATTAAGTCCCTCTCCACTAGACCTTGTTATGTAGTGTATCAAGGAAGAAGCACATATAATATTACACATTTAAAAATATTGGGATAGAGTCCAAAAAGAAGGAATATAAAAAAAATAGATATTATAATTTATAGCTATTGCCATACTCTTTTATGAGTTTTGACAGTTTTGAATATAGTTCTATGTCTATTTCTACCCTAGTTAAATAAAAATAATCCAAACAAAATAAAACATACTGACACCTTGCAAGCTGTACCATGTCATAAAAAGTTAACAAGTTTCATGTCAAAAACTTAATGACAGTTACTGCTCAAACTACAAATTAAAAAGAGAATAACAATATAAATGTATATATCTTTATTTGTTCAAAATAAAATGTTAATACTTTTCTGTTAAAAATATTTTGATAACAGTATTTCAATATAATTGGTTTCTTTTATAACCTGATGTATTTTATTTCATGCATTTCAAAATGTATTCTTAAAGGAGTCTATAGGCTTCACCAGACAAAAAGTTCAAGAATCCCTGCACTAGAGAAGAAATGGCCAATCTATCTTGACTGATATGCTGGAACCTCTCTGTCTGAACCAATGGCAGACATTATTCATCAACCACGGCAGTCTTTTCAGCAGATCCCAGATGCTCGTCAGACATCTACTGATAGATCTGTATAGACATATGAGGTCAAGCTTCTCTGCACTTCCTGGTAGATAATGAACTATATGTACCAATGCATTATAAAGCAAGGCAGGATAAAGATATGATTCAGTGCTTCTTTGGCCAGTAAAACAAATTAGAGAAAAGTTAGAGCCAACAATGCCAAAGGCATTTGAACAACAAGACACACTATCCTGGAAGACTCCAGAGTGAGGAATTGAAGGAAGGACATAATTTTGAGAAATGGAGAAAGGAGGGTGAAATGGTATTCAGGGGTGGGGTGGGGGGCAATGGTGGGAAGGAAGACTGTATAAGAGGCTCAAGGATGGAAACAGCAAGAAATATCAGAGGACACCACGGAGACCAGGATGTGGAAAATTTGTGGTAAATGAAGCTAAAGTAGCAACTTCTAAGAAGGCTTTGAACACTTGGGATGAGGAGTTTGGTCTGGGAAGTCCCTGAGAGTCAGTGGGCAGAGGACAAAGAGTGTATCAGTTCACTTTTGCTGTGTGACAAAGCACCGCAGAATCTAGTGATTTAAAACCACAATTATTTATGATTTCTCATTAATCTATGGATTGGCTGAGTGGTTCTTCTGGTCTGGGTTGGCTTAACAGATTAGGGTGACTCCCTCATGCATCTTTGGTCAGTGATGGGTAGTGTGGAGGCTGGTTGATTCAGGATGGCCTCAGCTCACAGTTGATATGAGGCTGGGCTGTTGCCTGGGCCAATGTGGATGCCTGGGCCACATGGTTTCTTGTCCCTCAGAAGGCTAGCCAGGGCTTGTTCCCATGGTAGCCGGACAGATTTCCAAAAGAGGTGGAAATACATATGGCCTCTTGAGGCTCAGAACTGACACTTTATCACTTCTACCATGTTCTGTTGGCCAAAGCAATTCACGAGGTTAGCCCAGATTTAAGGGGTGGGAAAATAGATCCCACCTTTTTTTTTTTTAAATCCTCACCCGAGGACATTTGTTCATTTTTTGTTCAGATAGAGTGGGAGGGAGAGAAAGGAAGAAAGAGAGAGAGAGAGAGAAACATTGACGTGAAAGGACGTGAAAGGGACACATCGCGTGACTGCCACCTGCACGACC